ACAGCATCGGAGAGCGGCCAGAGGCCCGGGGACGGGGAGGAAGGGGGGGGGCAGGGACGGGCAGCAGTGCCTGCCCCCCTTTCGGGTCGGGCGGGGGGGGGGATTGGGATATGTCGACTGCCAGGAAAAGCAAGGGCTCCCTCGAGGGCGCGAAGTTATTCGCGCTTCGCGCTTCGCGGTCCTCGTTCCTTCTCCCCCTCCTCCTCGTCCTCCTATTCTCCCTTTGGGAGGGCGGCGCGAGAGCGCGAAGTTATTCGCGCTTCGCGGAGCGCGAAGCGCGAAGCGCGAAGTTGGGAGCCCTAGGAAAAGATGGGAAGATATGGGAATGGGGCGGGAGGACAGCACCCAGAAGATACGGAAGAGTATGGGGAAACATTTGATTCGTGTGTATATTTCTTTGTGTGCTCAAGGGCTCCCCCGAGGGCGCGAAGTTATTCGCGCTTCGCGCTTCGCGGTCCTCGTTTCTCCTCCCCCTCCTCCTCGTCCTCCTTTTCTCCCTTTGGGGGGGCGGCGCGAGAGCGCGAAGTTATTCGCGCTTCGCGGAGCGCGAAGCGCGAAGTTGGGAGCCCTAGTGTGCTCCAGGGCCCCTTCAGACAGGGGGGATTGGGAAAGGGGGGGTAACGAAATCTGCTGCGTGCAGCTGGTTTCGGCCTCCCCGAGGGGCCCACTCCTCGATACATGGGCGCTCCCGGCGCCGGGAGGCGCCGGGAGAATCAGCCGCGTGAGCTGATTCTCAAACCCCCCCTTTGCTATCCCCCCCTTTCGCCCGACCCGAATCTTGAGCCGAACTCGCTGTCAGTGCCGCCGCGGGCGTGGTTCCTTCGAGGCCGCCTGCCCAACAGCGGCCACGGTCGATTCAGGACAACATGTGCTGCTGGGCATCGTGCCCATTCTTGTCCGTACGCATGTCGGGCGTACCTCATCGGTGCGATCGAGGGAGGATCGAGGCCCGAGGGAGGAGCGAGGCTCGAGGGAGGTTCGAGTGGAAGGCGGGTCCAGGGTCGAGGGAGGTTCGAGGATGGATGGAGGATCGATAGCCCTCCATTTCCTCTCTGCCGTCGTCGTCGTCGTCGTCGTCGCCGCTGTCCTGACTTTCGATCCAATCCCTGTGTTTATCTGTCGGTTTCGGCGTCTGGGGCCCGCCATCTGGCCCAAGGGGCCATGAATAGCGGGTCCAGGACGAAGACATGCCCCAAGGGAACGGGGTGGGGATTCGTGGGTTTGCGTGTTGAAGCACCACATCGCTGGATGTCTTCCGTCAAGCATAATGCAGACCCTAGCCCTTAGCCTAGCCCTAATAACGCAACGAACTCGTGGCCTAACTTAGGTCGTCGATATTCACGGCCATCCCTAAACAGGTGGGTGGTTTCGTCTGAGACATCTCGACAGAAAAAGACCCCCTATTCCTAATAGCCCCTAATAGCCTTGGTGCTGAAGTCCTCCTGCTCTCGCAGAGCTAAGTCTCTGCGCAGCCACGCCCGCGCCGTCTCGATCGGGTTCAGATCGCCCGAATTTGGAGGGAATCGCACAGACGCGAGCCCGTTCTTCGCGTGCACGTCAGGCTGCTGCAAGAAAGACTCGCCGTCGTGCCAGACCATTGCGCGCTCCTTGTGCGCGCCGCCCCCACCCGCATGCACGGCGCGCTTCAGCGCTGGGGCATTCTTGGCCCACTCCTCCTTGGCCATCTTAGGCCTGGGCGTCCACAGCCTGAGGGTGAAGCGCCCCCGTCCGCTGAGTCCCGCCCCACAGGGGCACCTTCGTCCCCAGCTGGATGCCGTACCTGTGGTGCACATGGCAGTCAGGGTCGGAATCCTCGCCCTCCCTCGTCCACGTGTGGCGGCCAGGTTCCTAAAAGGGGGGTCTGCAGAGTGCCGGCAGGAGAACACGAACCACCACCACAGTGCTCCCCCCCTCTTCAAGCAGAACTTTCCACCTGGTTGCCCTGCCCCCCTCCTCCTCCTCCTTCTCCTCCTCCTCCTCCTCCTCCTCCTTCCCTCCTCCTCCTCCTCCTCCTCCTCCTCCTCCTCCTCCTCCTCCTCCTCCTCCTCCTCGGGCAGCAGGGCACATTCCGGCAGCGGCGCAACGGGGGCGACCATGCCCCTGGCCTGGGAATGGATGCCAACCGCGCTCGGGACGGCAGCGCGCTCTGAATGGGTCTGGGGCAGGTCTGTGACCGGCCATGCGACTTTCCCGTCGGGGCACGCAGCACCAGAGAACACACATTGGAAGCACACCCGGCGCGGTGGCCGGCGCGACTGCGAGAGCACCATTCCGCCGTGAACGCGCAACCACGCAAGAAGGCAGGCACGCAACAAACAATCATGCGCGCGCAGGAATCGGGACGCCGAGAGAGGAGCAGAGCTTCACCGGAGCCTGGATGGCGACACACCGCAGAGAGCGCGGCAGCCACGCGAGCGCGGGATGCATTTCCAAGCAGTGACTCTCGGACTCCTCCTCCTCTCCTCCTCCTCCTCCTCTTCCTCCTCCTCCCCCTCCTCCTCCCCTCCCTCCTCCCCCTCCTCCTCCTCCTCCTCCTCCTCCTCCTCCTCCTCCTCCTCCTCCTCCAGCCCGACAAATTGCCCATCGACATGTTGTGTGGACGCCGAAGGCAGACAGTACCATTCGCGCCGTGATGAAGACGCCACCAAAAAAGCGTCCTCGATGCGAGCGTGGATTCCGTTTCCAGGCAATGCGTCTCGCATTGAAACAGGCAGTCTGAAACATTTAGACACAGCATTTCGCACTCTACACATGTATGAATTCTCGCACATGCCATGTCTAAGACAGTCCCAAGCAGTCACATCGCGCAGCGCACGTACGCCGAGCCGACGTAGGCGAAAAACTGGGCTGAATTTTTGCGCCACCTTGATCGCGCCTGGGCGGCGGCTCTTCCGCGCTCGAACCACCTTGAGACTCTTCCACCCCTAGTTGAGTATCATAATGAGTGGGTGTCGGGTGGGTCTCACATTCCCTGTATAAGTGGCACAAGGCTACACACCAGCTGCATCCCGATGGCGGTCTCAAGCGGTCTCAAACAGCTTCACATTGCTTCACAGTGCCGCGAACCCACTGGCGCAGAGCACACCCGATCATCTCACACGGCCTCAGAGCGACACGAAGCCCTCGGCGCCGAGCGCATGCGCGTGCTTCACGCGGACTCAGAGAGTGCTCCGAAACCTTGCGCGCCGAGCGCACCCGGGCGTCTCCCACACACATTCGCAGCGACGCGACAGCTTCTTCTGCGCCGGGCGCATCCGTGCGCTCCACGCGGCTTCGGAGTGCTCCGGAACCTTGCGCTCAGCGCATCCGCGTACAGTCGGGGCCCTGAAGAAGGAACCCTTTTCGTTGGGGAGGGGCTCCGCGTTCCTTAAGTGTTTCACAGCTTGCCTCATGCTTTCCTTATGTTTTCGACAGGAAATCGAAAAATAACTTATGGAAAAAAGGGGCCTCGTTCCTTATTTAGGGTTCCTTAGGTCACCGCCCCGACTGTCACTGAGTTTCAAAGTGCCGCGTAACCTTCGTCGCCGAGCACATCTGTGCGTCTCATACGGTTTCACAGCGCCACGAAATCTGCGACGCCGAGCGCATCCGCGCGCTTCGCATGGTCTCGGAGTGCCCCGGCACCCTCGGCGCCGAGCGCATGCGCGCGTGTCACGGGGTCTCACAGCGCTGCGAGCCCCTCGGTCCCGAGCGCATTCGCGCGTCTCCCAGGGTCTCAAAGTGCCGCGAAACCCTTGGAGCCGAGCGAATCCGCGCGTCTCGCGCGGTCTCGAAGTGCCACGAAACCTTCGGCAGCCCGCGGCCACAGAAACAAGTTGAATGCACGGCGCGCGCACGGCACGTTGCGATGGCGGTGCTTTTTCTCGTGCGAAGCAAGACTTCGCGAAATGTTACCACTGCGCAATATCTTGTGTGCGTTGTCTACTTCCCGCACCTCCCGTAGCGTCGAGCGTTGCACCGCGCCAGGTGAGCGGGCATCCCTTTTGCGAGCTTCTGCGAACGGCTCTGGTTCTGGCCAGGCGCCTTCTCCTCGTAGGTCTTCCGCCCGCTGCCGGAACTGCGACTTCGGGAAATATTGGCCCTCCTAGTTTAGGTCCCCCCCCAGAAGGTTTGGAATACTTCTACTGCTCTTCAGTCTCGGTTGGCGTCATCGTTGTCGCTGTCATGGTCGTCGTCGCCGCTCCCCTCTTGCTGCTGCTCCTCCAGCTCCTTCTGCTCCCTCCCTTCCTCCACCTCGCGCGGCTGCTGCTCCTCCTCGCCGTGTGGCCCCGCGCGGTCTCCGTCGCCCTGGAGCCTGGGGGGGCAGGCGGGGGAGCCGAGATTGCACGACGGGCGGCGAGAAGACCAGGGGAGGCGAGAGAGTACCAGAGGAGGCGAGAGCACCCGCAGCGAGGGCGAGAGCGCCAGGGGACACGCGAGGGGGGCCAGCGGCGGCGGCGCGAGAGCACGGGGAAATACGAGGGCACCTGGCGGAGAGGAGGGGCACAGGGAGCACGGAGGACAAGGGGCACGGGCATGCTGCCCGTCTCACAGAGGGGTCTCGGCCCCGTCCCTGGGCTTCTTATTGTGTTACCCCGAGCTGTTTTTTGAAGGCCGCTCGCTTCCGGCCAGCGCGCCAGCCCGCCGTAATTCGTCCGGGGCGGTTGTGCCCCACCGCCTGCGACTCTGTCGCTCCTGAGCTGCAGCCTGCCCACGACGGCCTTCACGGTCTGAGGATGCGAGAGGGCCAATGAAGGCGCGAGGATCAGGGCAGAGGAGCGCTGGTCTAGAGGGTTTTCGTGTGTGTGTATGATGGAGATCACCAAATCGGGCTCGAGCCTCGACTGCTTCATCGCGATGGTCATGGCTCTGAGAACAGGCACGTTCATCCCCGAAAAGGCGTTCTGCCTGAGAGGTCCCACCAATGTGTGCGCGAACGGGCCCGAAAGAAACGGGCCCAACAAGTCGAACATATCGACTGTCGATCCTCAAGCCGCCATCTTCTCGGCGACAACGACGACAACGACGACAACGACTACGACAACGACGAAGACGACGACGATGACGACCACGACCACGACCACGACCACGAGCACGATCACGACCACGACCACGACCACCACCAAGACCACGAGAACGACCACGAACACGACGACGACTGCGACGACCGCTGACTTCGTCGGCGACGGCGACGGCCGCGACAGCGACGGCGGCGACGGTTATCAGTGGCGACAGCGGCAACGGCTGGGCGGCGGCAACGACGACGGCAACGATGGTGATCCGTCGGGGGCGTGGCGCCGCCCCCCGTGCACACCGCCAGGGGGGCGACCAGTCGCCGCCGGCGCTGGCGCTAGTGGAGTCGCTGGAGCCTGGGCCGATGTTTTGCCTCCGCTCGGCGGCGCTGCCCGACGACCGCGACCACCACTCGGCGGCGAGCGAGAGAGGGAAGCGAGAAGGAGAGGGAGAAGGCCCTCTCAGAAGGCGGCGGGGCTGCGCAGCCATGCGGCCTTCTGACGAGTTGTTTTGTGGCTCACGGGAAGGCTTGGAGGACTCCTCAGAAGGCCAGGGGACTTCCGAGCCTTCTGAGAATGCCCGCCCCTTCTCGCTTCCCCCTCTGGCTCGCCGCCGAACCACGACAACGACGGCGGCGACGCTACCAGGCCGACAACCACGACGACGACAACGACGATCACAATGCCACGGCGCCGACCACGACGATCGCCATCACCATCACGGTCGTCAGCCACGACGACAGCCACGAGGACAGCGACGATGACAATGCCACGGTGTCGACAACGACGATCACCATCACCATCACGGCGACGACGACAACGACGACGACGACGACGGCGACGGCGACGACGACACGGCGGCCACCACGACGACCACGCCAACGCCGACGCAGAAGGGCTCAAGCGAGGTCTGGCTTCGTGCACGAAGGGCACTGGCGAGGGGTCTGGCCTCCTAGGGCGGCAGCAGGTCCTCCTCTCGGCCGGCGCGCACGAGGTGGCGGGACGAGGGGGGGCGGCCTTTAGCTGAGCACGCGGGGGGAAGGATCGAGGAGTCGAGGGTCAAGGTTTGTAGCAGCGTTTCGCCCCTACTGGGGATTCCCATCGAGCTGACTGTCAGGCTGAAGAGGGCTTGGACACGGCGCAAGAGGCCCTCGACAAGCCCCACGGGGGCTCCAAAATCATCACCAAGATCGTCCAGGACGCCAAGGCACAACTTGGGAGGATCCCGAGGAGTGGCATCTGAGGGAGGTGGTGGCGTTTCCAAGGATGCCATCGACGTCGCGCCCGTCGTGCTGGAGGATTTCGGGCGCTTCTGCAGGTTCTCGCCGCCACGGCTTGTCGCAGTGTCGCAGTGCAGCTCGAGAGACCGGCCAGGACGGGGCGGGGCCATGACCCAGGCAGATCGATGCAGAGCGTCCTGGAACGCTCTCAGAGCGTTCTGGAGCGCTCCGGAACGGCCGCCGCGCCCGATGCATCCTCCTGAACCGTCGGGTCTCAGGGATCGCCGACGTGCCCCCCCCGGTCCTCCTCCTCCTCCTCCTCCTCCTCCTCCTCCTCCTCCTCCTCCTCCTCCTCTGGCTTCGTCCTGCAGGCTAAGAGCCTGGGAGGAGTGTGGGGACTGGTCTCGGTCGGACTCTCTCGGGGCCGGGGGTGACCAGGGCGGCATTCTTCTTCCAGTTCCGGGAGGGCGGGGGGGGGTCTCCCTGGCCGGGCGGCTCCCTGCCCTCCGGGGCGCCCTCTCTGAAGCTGCCGGTCCTTCAGAAGAGGCCCCATGCGCTTCCCTGAGAGGGCCGCCCCCCCTGCGCTTCGTCCCCTCGCACGCGCCCTGCCAATCTTCCCCTGGAGACCTCGCCTGCGTCGTCATCGTCCTGGCAGTCGTGGTCGCGGCTGCCGTCGTCGTCCACCTCCTGCAGGAGGGCGTCGACGGAGGATGGAGGTTTTTCCCAACCCTCCTTGGTGGGGTATTCGTTTTGAATCGAGCAGTGTGGTCTCCACTTTTTCCTTCCTTCCTCCTCCTCCCTCCCTCCCTGCCTCTTCCTGTCTTGCCTGCGGGGGGCTGCGATCTGTGAAACTGTCGCCACTTTCGAGGCCTGCTGGGGGTCCCAGCACAGTGAGGGCCACACGCAGATTCAAATTAGACCTCGCCAGCCCTGGGGGGCTGCGATCTGTGAAACTGCCGCCACTTTCGAGGCCTGCTGGGGGGCCCAGCACAGTAAGGGCCACACGCAGATTCAAATTAGACCTCGCCAGCCCTGGGGGGCTGCGATCTGTGAAACTGTCGCCACCTTCGAGGCCTGCTGGGGGGCCCAGTACAGTGAGGGCCACACGCAGATTCAAATTAGACCTCGCCATCCCTGGGGGGCTGCGATCTGTGAAACTGTCGCCACTTTCGAGGCCTGCTGGGGGGCCCAGCACAGTGACGCCCACGCAGATTCAAATTACCTCGCCATCCCTGGGGGGCTGCGATCTGTGAAACTGTCGCCACTTTCGAGGCCTGCTGGGGGGCCCAGCACAGTGACGCCACGGGCGGATTCAAATTAGACCTCGCCATCCCTGGGGGGCTGCGATCTGTGAAACTGTCGCCACTTTCGAGGCCTGCTGGGGGGCCCAGCACAGTGGGCCACACGCGGATTCAAATTAGACCTCGCCATCCCTGGGGGGCTGCGATCTGTGAAACTGTCGCCACTTTCGAGGCCTGCTGGGGGGCCCAGCACAGTGGGGGCCACCGCGGATTCAAATTAGACCTCGCCATCCCTGGGGGGCTGCGATCTGTGAAACTGTCGCCACTTTCGAGGCCTGCTGGGGGGCCCAGCACAGTGAGGGCCACGCAGATTCAAATTAGACCTCGCCATCCCTGGGGGGCTGCGATCTGTGAAACTGTCGCCACTTTCGAGGCCTGCTGGGGGGCCCAGCACAGTGACCCACGGGCAGATTCAAATTAGACCTCGCCATCCCTGGGGGGCTGCGATCTGTGAAACTGTCGCCACTTTCGAGGCCTGCTGGGGGGCCCAGCACAGTGGGCCACGGGCGGATTCAAATTAGACCTCGCCATCCCTGGGGGGCTGCGATCTGTGAAACTGTCGCCACTTTCGAGGCCTGCTGGGGGGCCCAGCACAGTGACGCCACACGCAGATTCAAATTAGACCTCGCCATCCCTGGGGGGCTGCGATCTGTGAAACTGTCGCCACTTTCGAGGCCTGCTGGGGGGCCCAGCACAGTGACGCCACACGCAGATTCAAATTAGACCTCGCCATCCCTGGGGGGCTGCGATCTGTGAAACTGTCGCCACTTTCGAGGCCTGCTGGGGGGCCCAGCACAGTGAGGGCCACACGCAGATTCAAATTAGACCTCGCCATCCCTGGGGGGCTGCGATCTGTGAACTGTCGCCACTTTCGAGGCCTGCTGGGGGGTCCAGCGCAGTGAGGGCCACACGCAGATTCAAATTAGACCTCGCCAGCCCTGGGGGGCTGCGATCTGTGAAAGCTGTCGCCACTTTCGAGGCCTGCTGGGGGGCCCAGCACAGTGAGGGCCACACGCAGATTCAAATTAGACCTCGCCATCCCTGGGGGGCTGCGATCTGTGAAACTGTCGCCACTTTCGAGGCCTGTTGGGGGGCCCAGCACAGTGACGCGCTACGCGGATCCACAATAGACCTCCGTATTCTTGGGCCCTCGATCACATCATCCTCGAACCATTATTGTTTCTGGGACCTCGCCGCAGACTCAAGTTAGACCTCGCCATCTCTCGGGGGCTGCGATATGTGATCCCCGTTTTCGAAGTGGCTAGGAGTGCTCAGGAATTGTAAGTCATCAGCTTTATCAAGCCATTGTCCTGTAGCCAGTGTCCTGCGAGTTTCCCGAATTCCGTCTGCAGACATATGTAACCCTCGCTCCGTCATCGCCCCCTTATAAAGTATCCTAAACTATTTGCACCCCGCGTTTGCGCAGGGGTTGGGTACGTCGCCTGGGTAATTTTTGGTAGGGATCTTCGGCAGCTGGGCCTGGGCCGCCTGTCTGGTTGTTTTCGGCGTGCTTCTGGGGGGTCCCAGAGGCTCCCTAGGTGTCGGCACGATCTTCGGAGAGGGAGCAGCTGAGGAGGAAGGCAAGGGGAAGGGGGAGGACAGGAGGAGGAGGAGGAGGAGGAGGAGGAGGAGGAGGAGGAGGAGGAGGAGGAGGAGGAGGAGGAGGCCTCCTCCACCTCCTCCATCCAGTTCCTCATCCTCCTCCTCCCTTCCCCCTTCTGGACCGGCGCTGTGTGGGAGCCACACGGGGCAGGACGGGTGTGCCTCTTGTGGGCACCGCCGAAGCTCCCGTCACATTTCTCATCCGCCCCCTCCTCTCAGAACGAGGACGGGGATGGCGAGGACGTTGCTGGTGCACGGGAAAGGGTGATGAGTGGTGACGGCTGGCGAGTGGTGACGGTGCGGTTGCCCTTTGGGGTGATTCTGGCCAGTGCGGCCCACGGGTGGTGCGCCCACATGAGCTTCTCTTGCTCCCCCTCCCCGATAGTGCCGATCCAACCTCCCCCTCTCCCTCCTCCTTCGCTCCCCCTCCTCCTCCTCCTCCTGCTCCTCCTCCTCCTCCTCCTTCTCCTCCCGCGCTCCCGTGCGCACTCCCCTGAGGTCGGAGTAGGAGGAGGAAGAGGAGAAGGGAGGCGGCAGGAGGAGGAGGAGGAGGAGGAGGAGGAGGAGGAGGAGGAGGAGGAGGAGGAGGAGGAGGAGGAGGAGGATCGAGGATCGAGGATCGAGGATCGAGGAGCAGGGAGCAGGGAGGAGAGAGGAGGATCGATCGAGGGGGATCGATGGACCGCGCGGTGGCGCCTGGGCGTGCGAATCCCGAGGACTGCGCGCTCTGCCCGCGGTGCCTGCGGCGCATGGCGCCCCGGTGCACCAGGCGAGGCTCTCCCGCGGGGCTCCAGCCTGCCCGCGGTCGGCTGGTTCTCTGACCCCCCCCAGCCTCTCGGGGATCCCCACTCCTCCCTGCCGATCCTCCCCGACCTGCTTCGAGCCTGCCCGCTCCAGCCCGAGGCTCCTCCCGGCTGCTCCCCTATCCTGCTCGATGCTGCCTGCTCCTCGGTGCTCCTGGATGCTCCTCGATCGGGGGCGACAGAGGGGTGCTCATACCGCCACTCCCCGGACCTCGCAGTGCAGGGGTGCGCTCTGACCAGAAAGTTCGAGGCGAATCCAATCGCGCCGACGAGGGGGGAGCACCGGCATCGTTACATCCTCTTCGGGCCGACCGCTCCCCGATCCCCGCTGCCTCGGCCCTCGGAGGACCCCAAACGGTGTGGTGACCACGCCGCGTGGTGAGTCTGGGGGGGGATTCGAGGTCGCCGCACTCTTGTGGGACTCGGGTCGTCCTCCGAGGGTGTCTCGGGCGACTGGGGCCCCCGAGGGTCCCGAGACCGTGCGGTGACGGGCCGCGCGGTGAGGCCTCTCGGAATCTCAAGGTCACCGCGCGGTCCGTCACCGCACGGTTTGTTGGGACCCTCGAGCCTCCCCGTGCCGTGCAAGATTCAGGAGGAAAAGAAACACACAGACACAATTAATCCTCGATTCCCTAAAAAATATAGGAAAATATGGGAAGTGGGGGGGAATACAAAAACCCAGAAAATATGAGAAAATATGGGGAATCTTTTTATTTGTGTGAATTTATTTGTGTGTTCCAGTTCCCCTTCAAAGATGTGCGTCGGCGTGCGAGATTTTCGCACGCTCTCTCCGGGTGAGCGGAGGCTTTCCGGGCCTCTGGGGCCCCGTCCAGCAGCGGCGCCGCGCCGAGAGCTCCCCGTGGGGTCCAGGACTTCACCACCCACCACCCCACCCCAACCCAACCCGAAGGCTCAGATTCACCCTCGATTTCCAGTGGGGGGGGGGGGGGTCGGGAAACATCGAACAAACACATGTGGAACCCCCCTTACCCCCCCCCAACCCGAAATTCGGGCCTTCGGGTTGGGTTGGGGTGGTCTGGTAGGCAGTCAGGAGTACCCTCCGAGCGGCCGCGGGATGCCCCGGCTGTGACCCCCAAGCCGGACGTCCTCGGCGCCGTGGGGCCCTCGCGACGGCAGGCTTTTCTGCCGGTCTGCGGCCATGATGTGAGGGCCCTCCTCGCGGAGCCCTGGGGCCGCCCGGAGACGCCTCGGGTCTCGCCCCGGCCTCCTTGCGCAGCAGAGGGAATCCGGAGGGAACAGACACGCACAGACTAGACACAATGAATCGTCGATTCCCCAGGAAATAAAAAGAAAAAATGTGGGAAGTGGGGGGGGGAAGACAAGAACCCAGAAAATATGGGGAACTATGGGGAATCTGTTATATCTGTGTGCATTTATTTGTGCGGCCCGGGGCCCCTTCAGAGAAGAGGCACAGGACGGACTCTTTTTGCAAGTTTTCTGCCATTCGGGGGGCCCTCGCCAGGCCCCGGGGCCATCGACCTGGCATCGCTCGGACGTGTGTATTTTTTTCTCGGCGAGGACCCTTGAGGACCATCCTGGACCATCGAGCAAAACAAACGCGCATGACACCGAAAAATGCATGGGAAATGGACGTCCGAGCGACAGCAAGTCGAAAAGCGGCTCGGGGGAGGTTTTTTCCATGGGCCGGGCTGTCCCCAGCGGTCCTTGGAAGGCCTTTCCCATCTGTGAGGTCACGACCCCTTCGCCAAGGGACCCCTGAATCTGTCCTCCCTGTGGCCTCGTCCTTCTTCCTCCCACCTTCTCGCCCTCAGTTCTCCCTTGAGTGTGCCTGTGGGTCAGAGATCGATCATTTCTAGTTATACTTCTCACAGAACTTTTCAATGCTATCGCTGCCCTCACTCACGCAAAACTTTCCAACGCTGTTTTCGCAGAACTTTTCAATTCGATCGTTGCCATCCCTCGCGCAAAAATCGCTGTTTTTGCAAAACTTTTCAATGCTTTCGCAAAACTTTTCGATGCAATGCTTTTCAGTTCTCCACATCCCGACATTCCTTCCGCCACGACCCACAAGGTCTCCGACGCCGCCTCGAGACGGGCCCGGCGGCCCCCGAGGATGCATCGGGAGGGCCTGTCGGGGTCCCGCGACGCCCCCAAGGGCGGGTATGGCCAGGACCCCGTTTAAGGGGACCCCGCTAGTGGTAGGGCCCCGGAGCCTTTGAATTGGCCAGAATCACTAAACCAGGTTTGCCATAGCGCCATAGCTGGTGTTTTTTCGGGTGACGGCAGTTCCGGTTGGTGGAAATGGGACGGGGGGGCGCCCCCGGTACAGATCACTAAGCCAGGTTCCACTATACCCAGTTCTGCCAACGCCCGGCAAGGGCGCCCTGGACAGCCCGCGAGGCTCTCAAGACGGCCCCGAAGTGACCTCCAGAGGGAAGGCAGGAACCGCAATTTCGGATTCTCTGGTTACTGAAGCCTGCCCCCCCAGGCCTGAAGGAGGCCCCAGGGCGGCCCCAGGCAGGCTCCAGATGGCACCCGAAGCCCTAGACCAGTGCCCCGCGAAGCACAAATCGTTGATTTCGCCCGGGTTTTGAACAGTTTTTGGGCCCCCCCCCCCCACTCTTCGAGCTTCCGGCAACCCGCAGCGGCCCAAGAGGCCTCCAACAGAGTTTCAGGACGAACCCAGAGGCGCCCAGGAGGACCCGGAGCGGCCTAGCAGAGCTCCTTCACGAGCCCGGGGGCGGCCGAGACGGCCTCCGAGGCCCCGGAAACGGCCCCGGGATGGTCTCCGCAGGGGGAGCATGAACCGAGACTTCGCGTCTTTCGCCCCACGGGGCCCCAGGAGGCCTCAAGAAGGCTCCCAGATGCTGCCACGGGGCTCCAAGAGCACTGCACGAGGCCCCCAGGGCGCCACAGAAGGCTCCAAAGTCAGCCCTGCGAGGCCAAACGACGGCCCCCCAGAAGCCCCCGCGAGGCTTCCTTCGACATCCCTCCTTCCTTGTCCTGTCTAACCCAGCTCCACCCGTTCTTGTTTCGTTACCTTACGCCTCTCCCATCTCACTTCGCAGCAGCGCCACCACTGAGACAACATCTCCCAATGGCTCACTCTGGCTGTCCTGCGGGCTTTGCAGCCTCCTTCGAGGTACCCTAGCAACCTCCTCGAGGACCCCAATGCTGCCCCACACCATCATGTTCCTGGAGAGCCTTCCGGGAACATGGTTGTCACCGCCACTCCGGCAAGGAGGCCGAAGACGAGGAGGACGGTCCGCACCGTCCCACCGAACACCCCAACTCAGCGCGGCCCCTTGCCGTGCCCCTTTCCAGACCCTGCCGCTCTCGTTACCAGGTGCCTCCTCCATCTCTCGGTGGTGGACAGACCTCCTACCCTGACACGTCGATTAAGGAATTGGCCGTTTTCGGTTCGCGAGATGGCGTCGCGGCCGTCATTTTTTGCGGGTCAAGGTCCGTCGATTTCGGCCCTAGGTCGTTTTCACTAAGGGGAGGTTTACCAAAGGGAGATTTGTCCACCGCCGAATCTCCCTGCCAAGCGTAACCGCCACGCCACCATGTCCAAATCTTCATACCGTTCCGTCCTCCGGGCTTTGCAGACTCATGTGGGTAGCCCTGGAACCGAGGCCCCCAACGCGGCCCACGCCATCATGTTCCTGGAGGGCCTTCCGGGAGCACGATTGTCGCCACCGGCAAGACGAGAAGATCGAAGAGGAGGAGGAGGAGGAGGACGAGGAGGAGGAGGAAGAGGTGGAGGAGGAGGAGGAGGAGGAGGAGGAGGAGGAGGAGGAGGAGGAGGAGGACAGGGAAACGGCAAACAGAGGCAAATCATGAGGCAAATAATGAGGGTGAACCAAACGACAACAATGAGGATGCTGGCCCTCGCGGGCCCCCAGGGAGCCCCAGGGGCGCCCCAGTTGGCCCATAATGGTCAAAGACAATGGCTTAGAAACAGCCCCCAAGAGGCCCCCGCGCGGCCTCCGTCAACATCCCACCGACCATCCTACAGGCTTTCGACCCGCGATCCATGGACGGCGACGGCATGGGCCGAAACCCATTCCGGTGTGTGTCGTGCGCTCTTCCTCGCCTTCCTCCACTTGGCCTTGCCAGCTCGAGCAGTTTGTGCTTTGTTACCTCCCACCTCCTCCCTCCTCCACCTGGCCTTGCCGGTTCGAGCAGTTTTTGCTTTGTTACCTCACACCTCCACCCTTTCATTTCCAATCCCCGCCTCTTCACCTCTATTTCCGAAGTTTTTCGGACGATTCAATCAGCCACACTTGGGACGATTAGCGGCGACAATCATTTGCCCGGAAAGCCTGCCGGGAACATGATTGTCACCGCGGGTCGAAAGAGGAAGGAGAGGGCGACGAGGGGAGGAGGAACGCGGAGGCAGAGCGCGCAGGTAAGGATAATGAGGACGAGGATGATGATAAGGAAGAGGAGGAAGAGGAGAAGGAGGAGGAGGAGG